CATTACAAGAAGTGGGTTATTGATGTAGACAAATGCTCATGTACCCTTTACAGCTCACTTATTATATATGTTATTACCAAAGATGAAAACAGCCAGTCAGTCACCCAATAGTGTCTGACAGTGAAGTCAAGCAAGTAAACCGGTTTCATTGCATAATTTGAATATTAGGACACTGCTCAAGTTTAAATTTCACAGATAGGACATACATAACATATTCATAAGATAACATTTTGGCAGGCATATTTAAAAACAGTTCATTTTGGCAGGCACAGTTAAAATCACGACTTCACTTTCAACCAATCAGATGGCAGGATTAGGAAAGATTCTTAAAGTAAGGTATATAATAGGATTTATATCATTGAAGCATAACAAAAATAAACACAAAGATATGATTTGGATTCAGACAAGGATTAAGAGTCGAGAATGGCACAATGAATCGTCTTCTTTCTCTAATAATTAAATGAAACGTCAAAGCTTCCGTGCTTCGCGCGGGAGGGGGGGGGGGGACTGAAATAAGACAAGGATTAAGAGTTGAGCTAAGGCGGACCCCTGAATGCTTATCTGACCGTTATAAAATGACTCAAATCCCTGAATTGTATGGGGCTCAGCCCCCTTGACCCTCTACGCCAATTAATAAACCGCATGAAAGAGAATGGGGTGATGCCGATTTATGTCTGCCACCCAGGTGTTTTTTCTTATTACGTTGTTGCTGGCCACCATTACATCCGAAAATTTGGCTCGGAAATTTGCCCCCCCCCCCCCTCTAAGAACTCCTGGATCCGCGCCTGTCGCTGAGGCTCTACAGCCTGCTCGACTTCTCTACCGAGACCGAGCAGGCTACTAATCGGTTGGTCGCCGCTCTGAGTTGTGACCATAGCTTAAGGTAAAGCGTTTGTGTATGATTCTTATATTTATAATAATACTTGATCAATGAACAGTGCAATGTTTGTATTCTACCAGACCGTCGAATGAAACTGTAATAATCCACTAGGCTGCTCTTTAAGAAAATTCCCCTTGACATATCTCTATCTATATTTATCTACACATTTCAGAAATCATATACGTATTGATTACATTTTGTGTGTATTTCACGTTAACAAATCAAGATTTCAATTTTATCTTGATATCGAGGATTCAGTTATTTCTTACTATCCCCGGTTACTATCTCCTGTATATTCCTGTCACTCTCTTTTTCTCTATTTTATCCTTCTCTCTTTCTTTTTCTATTTTCTTTTTTTATCTCTATGTGTCCTTCTTTCACTATCTCTTTCTCTATATCTCTCTCTTATCTATCCATCTCAATCTTTCTCAACACTCGCGTCTTTTCTTCTCTCTTCATGTCTCTTTAAAAAAAAAAAAATCCCTTTTCATTGCCGTTTGTTTCTCCTCGCTCTCCCTCTCCCCTTCATCCTTGTTGTATATTTACTTTTCCCTCTATCGTCATATTTTACCTTATTTCGTTCAACATGTCTCATTGATTTGATGCCTTTTTTGTTCTTTCTATGCGGTTGCTTTATTCATGATACTTCAATAATGCATTTTTATTGCCAATGTCCCTCTTGAAATGTCCATCTTGTAAATCTTCGCGGCCGCGAGGAAAGTATTAGAGTAAACTATTTTCAATGAATGAATGAGAAAAAGGCCCATTATGAAATTGGAAATGGATTCTAAATTGCGAAATTAAGAAAGAGTTCATAATTATGATCGAATAAAAATGTAAACGTTCATGATTTTTACGGTCCATAATTTAGAAAACGAAATAGTCCGGGCTATTTATTATTGATAGTTTTTCTCACTTCCTTCAGACACGTTTTGTAATCTTGATAGAGTTCATCTTCTCTTTCTTTAAAGGCAGGCTTTACTACTTCAACCAGAAGGGATTAGACCGCCCAGCGAGCCAGCGAGGTCACTGTGACAGGTGGCTATCTCATTAACTCAGCTCTAATTTAACGTAAGAAAAAGAGGATCATTGTGGACCAACGGGCACCGATTGGGGAAGTTTTCTATATAGAGGGAGCTTTGAATTTGGCCGCTTTTTAAAGACAGATAATTAAGACGTGCGCTGGCCGGACAATTATTGATATTTCTATCTTTCCTTCTAAATCACGCACTTGTGTTCTCGACATAGCTTTTGTTTTCTTTTTCTTTTTAATAGAGCTATAGAATTTCTATTTTAAACGAAAAAAATACACTCGAAGAAAAACTGTTTATACTTTCTACCCTTTTCTATTATCGACCTATTTACTCAATATATTTACAGAAAATTCATTTAATAAAAAGCTATATGACAATATATGCTTCATTGCCTTGCTTGCCGTTGACATGTTTGTTTTTATTATCTATTCAGTCCCCAAATAACTCATAGAGATGTACGTTAGATTTATATTTTCTAAATTCTTCGAAAAACAAAGTACCCCTGATTTCTAGACTGAACTCTATCTTTCAAACGCAACTCATCAGAACATGACGGCGGCATATTATAATATAATATAAATATTGTCTGTCTCGCCTCGACTTGACAAAGATAATATTATCTCCCTCACCTCGACTTGACAAAGATAACATTTTGGCAGGCATATTTAAAAACAGATCATTCTGGCGGGCATAGTTAAAATCACGACTTCACTTTCAATTAACCAATCAGATGGCAGGATTAGGAAAGATTCTTAAAGTAAGGTATATAATAGGATTTATATCATTGAAGCATAACAAAAATAAACACAAATATATCATTTGGGTATTATAAACAATAGGCGAGCCAGTAATTGAAAATAGCAAATCTTATGTTGTTACCAAAAAAAAAAAATTGAAAAGGAAAATACAAGGCATCTAATCCATTTACAGGCAGGATGCATCTATATGAAGTGAGCCAACATATATCCACGGTACGACTGGTCTCTTTATTGAAAAAGGCATATCAGAAAAGAATGACCACATATTTGTCTCTAGTGACAAGTTGTTATTGTTGTTTTGGGGTTTATAAGGCTGTCCAATCTGAAAAGATTATTTTCGCAAGGCTATACTGTTTTTTCGAGTTATTTATCAGTGATGATAAGATGGCGCTGTTTCTTTTGCTCTGACAAATTAGATTCTGCTTTATGAAGATATCGTTTGGCAGGATGTGGCGGTGAACCAGGCGGCGGGTGGCTGGTTCAATTAGGCCGGCGGGGGCCCAGGCGACCTCATTAAGAAGAGGCTCGGCTTCCATGCGAGAGGCTGGAGTTTGGCGGCATATGTCAGGAGCAGCTACAGTACATGGCCTATGGTAGTCTTATAGTGCAGACTCACTTTTACGACTGACCAGGGTATGTGCTTGCAGACTAGCATATCCCTGTCCTCCCGTCGGCGGCAGCCAGGCTGAGCTCATGTTTTCTAGCTTTTTCCGAGGCTCGGGTTCCATTCGATAGGCGGCAGCCGGCGCATGCTTTTAGATGCCATTTCCTACCGCCTGCGCTAGCCGGCTGAGCTAATTTAAAAAATGCAGCCGAGACGCATAATTGCAGTTAGCTGCCGCCGGCTGGTATATTTATTTTTGACGCCTCGCCTAAACTAATAATGGGATAACAACCAGGGTGGTCGCTAAAGGGGGTCGTGGGGTGCGACACCCCCCCCCCCCCCCACCTGTCAGGATATTGGCGGTAAATTTGCGCTGCTGTCGGAAAACCTGAGAGAAGAGGGGTGGGAGTAAGAGAGAGGGGGAAATGTTAAGTGGAGTCACCACGTCGAGAGGGCAAGAAAGATACGCATAGATAATTATGTTGGTGTGGCTGGTCCGCTATGTCGTTATTCTTGCTCAATCGTCGTGTACTATATCAATGCGGAAGTTTGAAGTCGTGAAATGCAATATGTCGGTCGGCCGGCAATGTTTTTTTTCCCCTTCGAACTGTGACTTTGTATCGAAAAAAGGGAAAGAAAAAAATACATATTCAGACAATGATTGAGAGTCGGTACAACGAATCGTCTTATTTCTCTAATAATTTAATGGAACATCAAAGCTTCCGCGCGAGGGGGGGGGGGGGGACTGAATTCAAACAAGCATTACGAAAAGAAAACAGTACATAGAATCGTATTCTTTCTCTAATAATTTAATGAAACGTCATATCGGGAGAGGGGAAACTAAATTCAGACAAGGATTAAGAGACGAGAACGATACAACGAATCGTCTTCTTTCTGTAATACATGTAATTAAATGAAACGTCATAGCTTCTGGGATGAGCGGGAGGGGCGAAACAAGAAGTAAGAGTCTGAACGGTACAACGAATCGTCTTCTTTCCCTTATAATTTAATGAAGTGTCAAAGATTCGACGCTTCGAACGGGAGGGGGAACTGAAGGAAAAAAAATGGCCCTGGTTCCTGGCCCCGGAGTTATAGGGTTAAATTTGTAGACATTGGGACAATTGCATTAACATATTTGTCGGTAATTGGTGGCTAGTTTTGTCGGTAATTGGTGGCCTCTACACCCCCCCCCCCCCCCCCCACTGAAAAAGTTCTAGCGACGCCCCTGATAATAACACAGTTCATACACGTGAGATAATTTTTGCAAGTACTACTGGTGAAGTACCAGACCACCGTCGTTGTGCATTGTGCAGCAACGAAGCATATACACAGATCACTTTTCTCTAACCTCTAACCAATCAGCAGGCCATGCTTTTTTCAGGAAGTGCCGGTGGACATTAATGCGTCAAATGTGGTTCTCAAATTTCTAAAGATCCCTACCTTTGGAGGGGGTAGGAGTAAGCAATTTTGCGTCATATTACTCCAGGAAGTGCCTGAAAATGCGCCTAATGTGGTTCTAAAGTTGCAAATGCTTCCTACTCAGGGAGACCCACCGCCGCTTGGTCGCTCCGCTCCCTCAACGCTGACGACTCGCTCTATCTTTTTTCATATATTTTACTCCATGAGATTTTGTGGCCCCTCTACCCCCCGGTAAAAAATTCCTGGGTCCGTCACTGATATTATATGTATTATATTATTACTTGTCATTTAATATATTTCCTTACCTGAACATCCGACTGTCTATCGTAGCCGAAAGACTCATCATCAGTAGACCTATATTATTTATAAAAGACATTTGAGTGCAAAAGAAAATTTAAAAAAGACATGGGAAATATTTATGCTTTAAACGGGTAACATTCATGCCGTAACATTGATATCCGTTCCTGCTAGTTAGTAAGCAAATAATTACCGTTGATGAAGGTGATGGGACACATTATCACTTCCGAGGCGATCTGGTTGTAGCTATCTTTCCGAAGCGAAACTGAGGAAAGATAACATATACCTTCAAATCGCCGAGGAAGTGATAGTTTACCATCGCCTGAAACCAAAAGGTGATTATTTGCTTTATATTCCACATCGGAAACATTTCACTTCTTCCGTCATTTTAGAGCAACAAATCATCAATCAACAGCTATGAAACGATGTACGATAAGTGCATGCAGTGCTTACGTTCGTACGTACGTATACGCAACGTATACAAGAAAGTGCGTTGTACTGTGTAGATAGTACACTGTCGCTCATAAAGGTGGAATATTTTAGTTTTATCCCAATTTATGGAATTATTTTAAAAATAATTTTAAAATAATAGATCTAAATAATAGTATACATTCTCAAATTGTATTGAACAATAATTTGCCAATGTGTGTTTTGCGTGACTGCTAAAGCATGGGTATGCTACTATGCTTATCAACTAGGGGACTTATGCCCTTAAGTCATAAATGACAGTAATGAGGATTAATGCCCCACAAAAGGGCACTAATATAGCACATCAAAACGGTTTTGATCCTGGGGCCCCACAGTTACGAGGCCATTGCTTTGTCACTGAACCATGAATGTACGCAACGGGGGCTAGGGTAGGGGGCAGTTTCCATAAATTAAAAAAAACATAGAAAACGCAATAAATTTTCAATAATTTATTGCATTTTACCCCGGTTCCCGACATAAACAAATCTTCTGTGTGCCCATGCCTTGAGCCATAATGCATGGCCGTCCAGAGGATTTGTTTATGTTGGGGACCGGGGTAAAATGCAATAAATTATTGAAAATTTATTGCATTTTCTGTATTTTTTTATATTTATGAAAACTGCCCCCTATCTAGCCCCCGCTGCGTACAGTCATGGTTCAGTGACAAAACAATGGCCTCGTAACTGTGAGGCCCCAGGATCAAAACCGTGTCGATGTGCTATAGTAAGTGTTAGGCGCTATATAAGCACTGTAATTATTATTATTATTATCATAGTAGTGCCCTTTTGTGAAACATTAATCCTCATTACTGTCATTTATGACTTAAGGGCATAGGTCCCCTAGTTATTAAGCATAGTAGCATACACATGCTTAAGCAGTCCCGCAAACCACACATTGGCAAATTATTATTCAATACAATCTGGGAATGTATACTATTATCTAGATCTATTATTTTTAAATTATTTATAAAATAATTCCATAAATTAGGGTACAACTAAAATATTCCACCTTTATGAGCGACAGTGTATTTCTCTTATCAGTGAAAATGAGTTGCACTGTGTAGATAGTATTTCTCTTATCAGTGAAAATGCGTTGCACTGTGTAGATAGAAGTACTATCTACACAGTGCAACAAAATTTTCTTCTCCCATAAATGATGGGCGAACTATCTTTCATCACGTGATTTACTTTTGACCAATCGTAGCGCAAGAATATTTGTATGTGGAATATAATAGCGCATAATGCAGAAAGTCCTGGTAGCTCCTAGTTACATGCATGTTTCAAATTTCAATAATATTTTGGGTATTTAAAATGACAAGCCTTACAAGCCTAATACAGTTTCAATTTGAAAGCTTCTAAATTATACACTTTCGGTAAGGGATTATATGATTAGGGTTATAGAAAAATGATGTAATGATAATGACACCCCTCCTGCGATAACATGAAGAGCTGGCGGCTGGAGGTAGAGTCAAATGATATCCGTGGGAGCCTTATAACGTTGACTCTTCTATGTTTCTCACCCCATCAATGTCCTTGAATCAATTCCAATGTTTCTTGCTTGCAGTTTATATTTCACACACATTACTAATCTGTAATTCATATTTTCTAATGACACATAAAATTAAATTAAAAAACAGAACCGTCAGTTTGGAGTAAGAAGGGTGTTAAGTAATATACTTTAACACACAGGCAAAGCCCTTTTGGATTCTGATAACCATCACTTTTTTTGTTTCTTTTTTGTCGATTTCGCATTTAAGATAATTCTTTACTTTGGTTTATTTTCATTACATCCAAACTCACTTGAAACGCAGACTATCCGATGCTTTAAAATCTGTTGAAGACTCGACAAGTTCAACAAAGTCTTCTCCATCCAAGGACTTCATCCCGGACAGACCTAGCCACTGTAGGTTCTTGGTTTGTTTTCTAATCAGAAGGCCCAGTCCTCTCATCGTCTCTCTCGATACACAGCTCTTCTCTGATGGGAGCGATGGTGGTGCTACAAGTATGATGTGTGTGAGCTGCTGTCCTCCGGTCCGACGAAGACCAGCCGTGATCTGAGGTATGTCTCTCTCTGCATCATCGATAGTGATATCCATATCTCTCAAGCCAGGAAGCGATGAGAGCAGACCTTCGTAGCTTTGTGACGTCACTCTCCAGGCTGATAGCTTTGTGACGGATGGAAGCTCAGGAGCAGATGGGGGGAAACTGAGAGAGGAGTCTGAGATGGTGAGAGCATGTAGCATCGAAAATGATTTGAGGCATGACCATAGTCCACTCGTCACGTCGGTAGTTAGACTAGATCCCTCAAACAGTACAATCCTCACCTGGTGTTAAGATAGAGAGAGAGAGAGTGAGTGAATTAAAGACAGATTATACAAATAAAATTAATAAGATCTTGCTTTTTGCGGTAACCAATAAAGAAATCAAGGCTGTGTAGCCTGACCTTATCTCAGAATAATATCCAGGAGGTAATGGGAGCTCTCTCCCCTACTCCTTAACATTAATAAGTAATATATTTATTTTCTTCCATGTTAAATATACAGCTCTTTTGTTTTATATAGGCTTCATGCTTATATTGACTGCCCCTTCGTCAAAAATGATTTTTTTTCTTTTGTTATGGAGTACCTTGATTGAGGCCGCAGTTGGGCAAACATAGAACAATAATGAATATGAATCATTATGATCATTATATCATGCAGTGTGGTTTATCAAGATGCGGTTAATTATGAATAAGAATAAATTGAAAACACCAATTAGCTCTTTGACTTATAGTTACAGCAGAGTAATGAAAACTTAAACAATCTTTATGAACTCATTATTATACACACATTTTGTCAACTGAAAATGTGCATACCTGACGTTTAAGTTGCTTTGGAAGATTTTGCATCCCAACGACGGTGTAGACAGTCGGTGACTTTAGAAAAATACTCTGTGCAGTTACACATCTTTGAACCAACGAAGACACATTTCCTTCAGTACCCCTGGTCTCCGATGAGCAGTTAAGGAGAATGCGATAGCGCTCGCTCTCATTCAAAAAGCTGTTTGTAAGGAGCACCTCCATTATTCGTACAAAGATGTTGTTGTCTGTGCCAGCAGCGAATCGGATGAGATTCTCGTAGTCACCAATGTTTTCTTTGATCTTGCGCAGTACTATGTCTAACTTAGAAATCTTCAAACGTAACTGAAAGTTATTTGTTTGATCAGCGAGATATTTCCCAGCCGAGTGTTCTTGTGCGAGTTTGTGATAAAACTCAATGGTAGTGGACGTGGTCATGTGAGATCGTGGGAGCCATGTCGTTGCAATAGTTGTCTTGAATACTATCCCAAGTTCACAGGCTTTATCAAGGATTGCGGGAATTTTACGGAAATCATGTGACGTGAAGACCAGTTTTTTAGCATCGTCAAGCAGACCAGTAAGGGCAACTTCGCCTAATTGAGAAACGATTGTCCTTAACTGTTTGGGCGTAATTTTCATTATTGACTTTTGGCGTGCGTTTGCATGGTGCACCAGAAAGACGTTAACGCTGTCCAGCAATTCTGTTTGAGTTGTAGTATCAATGTTCAGTAGGCCCTCACTCCATAAGTGACAGATCATGAGACAAAATAGAGGCGTTTCAACAAGTTCATTAATAAGTGGTTGGTCATCAAGGTAAACCTTCAGACCACGCCCACTACCAGGACTCAAAGTCAAGGCAAAGAACTTGTCGATGTACTCTCGTGAGCTCTCTTGCGAGAAGCCTTCGATCCACAGTTTTGTGTATACTCTTGAAAGTTCCGCTTGGTCGAAGAAGTTCTCTAGGTGAGGGCGTGTTGTTACAAGAACTCTACACTCTGGAAATTCCTCCCAGCGGATGACACTGACAATGTTGCTCCCTAGGCTTCGGTTTGAAGAAGAAATACCGGCATACTCATCTAGCCCGTCTAGTATGATGTGACAGATTCCCTGATTCTTTCTGATGAAACTCTCCAGACCCTCTGGTGTGAGATCATGAACATCACTCAAAAGCTGCGATTTGATGGCTTCTCCGATCGATGTCAGCTGATTTGTGTTACTGAATTTCAAAACAAACAGAAGTGGCAGAAGTTCTAATGCTGACCCTTTTTCTCTGTTAACCCAGTCGTAAGCCATCTTAGCAACAGCCGTGGTCTTCCCTCGTCCAGCTGGGGCCGAAACGAGGATTCGAGCTGGCAGTCTTCCGTTTACTTTCGTTGAAAATATTCCAGCAACAGAACCCTTGAGTATTTCCTTCTTTTTCGTGTCCTTTCCATGAGCGTCCTTCTTCACCACTGTGACAACCGTGTGCAAATCTTTGAACTCGACATAATCACTTCGATCCCAAGGTTTTATTTGAACTTTGCACAGTTGATTTCGGTACTTGTTCTCCAACTTTTCGCGACATCGCAGAACAGTCAAGGATTCCGAGATCTTCTCACTGTAAATATCTGAAACGATACAAGCAAACAAGACATATTTCTTATCACTTTCCCACAATCTCAGCTCTTTCCCACTCCGACCCAATTGGTTTCGGTGAGTAATTGTTTCTTGTTAAAAAAAAATTAAGTTTCATTGTCCCTACCTATTTCCTCTTCCCCGTGAGACAAAAAAGCTAAATAAAATAGACAAACGGACAAACAATAAGAGCTTGTTTTAGTTTCTAAAAATCGCAACTACTGTGTGTACATTATGAGGTAAGAGCTTGTCCAAATTGGCCAAATCGGTAATGCTATAATGCTGTATAATGATTGACAACTCTTCCATTTGATCCGACACACGGACAAAATGTCAATTTGTTGAAATGTGTTACTTAGGATATTCCCTTTTTTTAAAGGAGATATATTTAAATGCTATTCTTAATACATTGCGAGTATTGCCACTAGGGAGAAGGTGAGGTTGTAGGACATTTACCCCCTGAAAAAAAACCTCCGAAAAATTACCTCCAAGGACACCCCCCCCCCCCCCCAAAGACAATTACCCCCGGAAAATTACCCCCTTAAAACAACCGCCCCCTCCCCCAGGAAAATTACCCACTACGATAATCAACCCAAATGTGTGTATGTGTGTTTGTGGGTTTGTAAGACGTATGAAGTGGGGATAATCAAATAGTATACATAACTTCCTTTTTTTTTAACTCTCTTTTTTGCTAATTTTGGTAAAAGTTAACCGAGAGGAGCCTACTACCCATTGCCTGCAAGAGTTTCAAGACATCCACATTTTCATAGTAAGACGCCACATTTTCGAGCGCTACTTTGTGTATCATCTGAGTTTTTAAAATTCTGATAAATGAACAGCGCCTAGTAAAAGCTCTTACATAAAAATAGGAGGCTAAGCCATGTTATTCTTTGACAAAATGTAATTGTATTCATTTTTCTGGCCGCCAGATAAATGAATGAATTTAGATAGATAGATAGATAAATGGTATTTATTGATTCATTACCATGTATCACAGTAAAAAGTAACTGAATTGCACATGAGTAAATTGTTGGAAAAAAGCAAGTATACATTTCAAGATGTCACACTACAATCTACATAATTATGCACATCAACGATTTACCCTTAGTACTAAAAAAGTGTAAAATAAATATGTATGCTGATGACACTATTTTATATTATGCTAGTAATGACTTTTCTGAACTGGAAAACAAAGTAAACGAAGATTTAGTAAATGTGAAAAAATGGCTTGATGTCAATAAGTTAAGTTTAAATATAAATAAAACAGAATACATTGTACTAGGAACAAACAATCGTCTTAAACTAGCACGTAATACAAATTTGAATATTAACATAGATGGAACCCCTCTGAAAAGAGTTACTACATGCAAGCATTTGGGAGTGATTGTGGATGAAACTTTATCATGGACAGACCATATTACATCTGTACAAAAGAAATGTAGTAGTGGATTGTATATGTTAAAATCAATACGTAATATTGTTGGTAAAGATACATTGAAATTAGTATATAATGCATTGATTTTATCCCACCTCTCCTATTGTGATGTAATATGGGGAAACTGTGGAAAGTGCCTTCAAAATGATCTCCAGAAACTTCAAAATCGGGCAGCTCGAATAATAAATGATACCCCTTGGGATTCATCGGGAAGCTACAACCTTAATAAACTTGGATGGGATACGCTTGAACAGAAAAGGAAGGAAAATATCGCTTTAATGACTTTCAATATACTTAATAAAAAAGCCCCTTCTTATTTAATTGATAAATTTTCGTTCAGAGACAGACCACATAATACGAGAAGTGGCAATCTATGTATTAAGACAATCCAGCCTAAAACGGATAGTACCAAACGCACATTTGTGTACAGAGGCGCTTGCCTATGGAACTCACTACCACACGAAGTGCAAGCTGCACAAACCAAGTACAGTTTTACAACAGGTCTTAAAAGAATAACCAATTTATAATAATATACAATATACTATGCTCAAATATGTCTATGAACTTTCGAATGTTTCCTTTTTATTTTTGATGTATCCATGTTTGTGTTGTTTGAATTTATATTGTTGTGTATGCATCTACTCGGGTATTTTTAAATTTCCATATGATGTAATAATTATAGTTTCATTTCATTTTATCCGAAAATGATCAAATAATATAGTTTTATCTGCTGTGCATGTTATTCTAATTCACTTTTAAGTGTTCCTTTACTGACTTGAATAAAATAAAATTGTAATCATATCCTTATTTGTAATAATGCAGTATCTTGACCAGCCACATTTGATTTTATTTTTTTAATATATCATTTCTGGCAGTTTATATGCACTAGTAACAATTTGTATTACCTATTTTAATGTGAAGTATATTTACAGTACTCTTGTTTGGACACTCATGCTTATTGTTATCCACATACATATACTTTTTCGGCAGTACTATTCTATCGTTAAATTGTTAGATATTTATCTTGATTATTTATTGTTTGTTTTAAATATGTCATTGATGTACCATTATCATTTTTATGTTAATTCGATGTATTTACATTGTGTCACACGGCCCCAATAGAAATCAGTCTTGTAACTGTTTGGGCTTTTTTAACCGTGTATAAATAAAGATATCAATTCAATTCAATTCAATTCAATAATTATGAAGAGCGTGTATATACTATATACCATTAATCTTATACAATATTTCAATTTAAAAATTTGAGTTAAAAAGAAAGAGAGATGGGAAAGCAGGAGAGAGAGAAAGAAAGAGAGAAAGAGAGAGAGAGAGAGAAAGAGAGAGAGAGAGAGAGGGGAGAAGGGGGACAGATGGACAGAGAGGGAAAACAATTATGTACATGTTGATAAAATACAAAGATACATTGCAAGACAAATATGAATATTATAAGGTGAACATTAGAGATATTAAAATATAAATATAGATATGCATCGCATTCTTCATGTCATAAAAAATACATTGACTAACTTGGTAAAAAAAATCAGACCTCAAATTTATGAATTAATTATATACTAAGGAATATGAAATTGTAATTTGTTTCAGAGTATATTAAATACAATCATAACAAACTTTTGTTATACAAACGGATCAAATCTGGGATTGGGCTATTCTACATACGTTTAGTTTTGCACCTGGATTCAGGGATCTTGTTAGTTCTTCGCAAAGTTCTATTGTGTGCTCTTTGGGGTATAAATTGTTTGAACTGGTCTGTGCATGAAAGAGTTTTTTAAGAAGGTAACACATAAGTCATTTCGACGACTTTTCAATGTTTGTAATTTCGATTTAGTAAGAGCGTTTGCGTAACTATGATAATCCTTTCCAAAGGTAATCCTCAATGCACGTTTTTGTAATCTTTCTATGCGTTGTTTTTGTGCACTAGTGAGACCTCCGCTCCAAAAAAAAATAGTAATCAGATCTTCATGTGAAAGACCGAACTTCCCCAAGGAACGGAGCATATATAGTTTCGCATTCGCTCTTTTTTCAATATCTCTGACATGGGCTTCCCACTTCAAGTCGTTTTGTATCGTGACACCAAGTAATTTCACCTGTGAAACAGTTGAAAGAACACAATTTTCGAGAATAATGGAAGACTGATTGACTGGTACTCTTGAAAAACAAATGTCCATTTTAATACACTTTGTAGGATTCAATTGCATTTTATTAATATCAGCCCACAAAGATAGACATTCTACAGCTTCTTGCATGTTTGAAATTTGGTTTGTTTTACGACACTCAACTAGGGTTAGATCATCGACATATTTAAACATATGTATACTTTCAGAAGATTTGAAATCATTTATCATCACAAGAAAAATTAGGGGCCCAAGTTTAGTACCCTGGGGCACACCTGCATTTATTTGACACCATTCTGAGAGATCGCTGTGATAGCGAACTCTTTGTTTACGTTCAGAAAGAAAATCAGTTATCCAGTAAACTACCGCTGGTCGTACACCGATTTCAGTTGACTTTATGATGGCAACTGTATGATCTATTCTATCAAACGCTTTTTGAAAATCTGTGAGAAGTATCTTCGATGACGTTTTTGGTACCTCAGCATTTAAAAAAACATAATGAAGAATATTAATCAAACAGTGTGAGGTCGATAAACATTTCTGGTTTCCAAACTGACAGGGGTCAATATGTTGGGCAATGTCCTGATACATCCACTTTGCGATGAAACCTTCAATGACTTTAGCAAAGTGATCTGTTAATGATATAGGTCTGAGTTTGTCAATACGTGCAGGATTCACCTTTGGGATCGGTACTACAATAGCACATTTCCAGAAGGCCGGAACTTTTCCTTGACTAAAAGAAGCATTAATTATATAGGTTAAAGGTCCCGAGAGTTCAACAGAAAAAAGACGGATTAGGCGTGCTGAAATAGTATCTGGGCCATTCGCCGTCGAGCATTTGATTTTAGAAAGAACTTTATTAACCTGCCAAGGATAAACCTCGGGTAAACTTCTAAAAGGTAAGTATTCAGGTAAAGCTGCTAAATTTAGTGGTTGTAAATCAGAAGAGACAGATATGAGATGTTCGTTTATCGCATTCGCAATTTTATCTCTCTCACTTATATCAACACCATCAACTGGGATATTGAGTGATTGACGATTTCCCTTTGTGAGGATGCGTATTTCTTGATACCATCGTGAAGGATTACTTTTCTTAAGTTTCTGAATACGTGACCTGTAATATTTAACTTTTGCTTTCTGAATTGATGAATTTACTTTGTTTCTTAAACGTTTCCACAAAATTCCCTTACCCTGATGAAATGCAATTTGTCTCTCATGAATCAGAGATTTAATTTCACCTGTCATCCAGGGCTTATCTCTAAAGTGCAATAATACCTTACGAACTGGAAAATAAATGTTAATTGCATTATTTAAAGTACTATAAAAAGAACCACATCGAACATTTACATCAACATCTTGAGTCACTTCTGGCCAATCATAAAAATATATCCACTGTCCAAGCGCCCTTATTGCACTATCTGTCATGGGTCTGTTGAATACATAACGAGTAGTATTTTGTAATTTAGGTTTGATTTTAAGAGGAAACCACATAATTGAATTGTGGTCAGACATTCCAATAGGAGAACAAATCTGTGGTTTATCATAAAACTGATGAATATTAGTGATAATCTTATCTAAAATGTGAGCCCCTCTAGTAAGGCAATCAACGACTTGACGAAATGATTGGGTTAAAAGCACCGGATCAATATTCATTCGATTAAAATCTCCCAATATTACAAAACCTGCATCCGTATGATTAGACAAAATAACATCAATAGTTGTTTCCAAATGATCTATGAGTTCTGTCTCAAGTTCAACATCAGGCTGAGGGTAATATACGACTGCACAGTAAATGCAGGAGATGGATCTTGGAAGACGAGGAGGGTGTATCTTCACCCAAGTCACTTCAAGGTTTATAGAGACTTGGACATCGGCTGGAGAAGGATTAAAAAGTTCTCCCACGTAGATAGCTACTCCACCGCCTATACGATTAGTACGTAATTTAGTGCAGAGATAATAACCTGATATAGAGAAGTTATCGAGTGGGCAGTCATTCCTAAACCAGGTCTCGGTAATAGCTGCAATGTCTACATGAAGATACGAGATGACAGCCGATAGCTCATCAAACTTATTGCATGCTGATCTGACATTGCTTAAAAGAAAAGAAGGCAAATCGCACCCAGCCTGAGGGGCGACTGGGACAGAAGTCAAGCATCTTCGGCGAGGGAACCTAGGGTATTTCTTAGGGAGCTTGGTATGGGCCGTAGGTAGAATAATCGGAATGGGATGCTCGAAATGTTTCAATTTTCGAACACCAGCTCTGCAGCCGCGATGGGTTTTAAACTCTTTTCCAATTTCGAGCTCGGATAGTGTTTTCCATGTCTGGACTGGTAGTCGTAAGCTTTTCCCACAAGAATTTGAGTTAATATTAACCAATTCACCTCGCGTATATTTATATCGTTTATTTGTATTGCATGATGTCAACTCGAACGGACCTGGGTTAGATTCCACGTCACCGCAACAAATGATAGGTAAAGTGAAAGTTGCACTTGCATTAGCGTTATACTTAATTGGTGTTTTGTGATATCCGCTACGATGAAACTGTTTATGAGCTCGGCTAGGAGCACGAACGGGAACAAACGCAGTTTCATGTTTAGAGTAACTCGAATGTCCACGGAGGCCGATAATTATACATAGGGCAATGTAGAAAAGAACGTATACTTTGTAAGTATCCATCAGTGCGTATCAAGACTATTCATTGTATGTAGATAAATGAAACACCACGGATAGGCAAATCAGTCACACACGAACGACGTTCACACATCCATGCAGTATAGTACATATGTGTAACAGCCCAGTGTAAAATGGCTTTACTTGCATGTACTGTGTACACATCCGTTGAATCAGAATTTAGAAAAACAGTTTCCAGTATCTAATATATAAATACATCACCTCAAAAATGGCATGCAGTGTCACAAGTACATAAGATGACAGTTGATCAACAATAAAACAGCATACACTCAGATTATCAGTGGTAAAACACGGTAAAATTCAGAGCAAAAACAGAGACGGCTGCCTGCTAGGCGCACGTATGCATGCATTTTGTGAAAGAAAGAGAATCTTTATAAAAAAAAACACCTCAAATTCCAATATTCCCATTGTCATAGTTAAAAATAGTTAAAGATAAATATCCTCAGTTGGCACGTTTTACCTGTATGTGTGTTTGTGTATGTGTGTGTGTGTGCGTGTGTGTGTGCGTGTGTTTGTGTATCTTGTATCTGGGGTGTGTGTGTGTATGTGTGTGGGGTGGGGGTGGTCTGTCCTTCAGGTTGATTTTCCGGGGGTGATTATCAAGGGGGTAATTGTCCAGAAACGAGAAGGTGCTTATGGGAATAACATGAATATTGTGTTCTATATTTTGATAGGACAAACGGAAAGGTTGTCATTGACTACGTCACAATTCACTGAAAAAATTGCCAATTTAATCTTCAAATATATATATATTTTATATATAGTGATGACATGATTCAAGCATTCAAAACTTTCTTGATTTTGGTCTGATTTTTTCAAAAGTTTTGCCATTTATTCTGTGTAATTTTTTTCCCTTTCACACAAATGAACTATTACAAAGGTTGAAATGTTCTCAATCGGAAAAATCGTTTCAATGATGGAAAGTGGGCTCCTGGTCTCCTGGGATGACCCCGTACTTAGGGATGACGCAAGAGGGATGGGGAGGGTTTATTGGAGTATTACACCCCCACTCATAATGTTTTGGGGCAAATGTGCAACCTATTTCGGAAAAAAAGTGTAGGAGAAAAGGACGAAAGAGGGGGAAATGAAGAGAAAGAGAAGACAAAGGAAATAAGATAAAGAAAAAAGGATAGCTTAAGATGCTAAAAAAAGAAACGTAACGAAAAGGAGGAGGATAAAATGGATGGGAGGTGAGAGATTAAAAATATTTAAAAATAATAGATCTAGATAAAAGTATACATTCTCAGATTTTATTGAATAATAATTTACCAATGTATGTTTTGCGTGACTGCTAGAGCATGTGTATGCTACTATGCTTATCAACTAGGGGACCTACACCCTTAAGTAATAAATGACAGTAATGAGGATTAATGCCCCACAAAAGGGCACTAATATAGCACATCGACACGGTTTTGATCCTGGGGCCTCACAGTTAAGAGGCCATTGCTTTGTCACTGAACCATGACTGTATGCAGCGGGGGCTAGGTTAGGGGGCAGTTTCCATAAATTAAAAAAAAAAGGAAATGCAATTAAATTTTCAATAATTTATTGCCTTTTACCCCGGTTCCCAACATAAACAAATTATCTGTGTGTCCATGCCTTGAGCCATAATGCATGGCCGTCTAGAGGAATCGGTAATGTTACTGTGATGTATAGTACATCTTTCCCATTTTTTCTAACACACGAATGACTAAAATTTCAATTTGTCGAAATGTCTTACTCAGGAAGATTGTTAATTTTTAAAAGGACATATAATATATATGCTATCCATAGTATATTTTGAATAGTACCCCAAGGTAGATAGTGCTTATGAGAAAAACAGAAATTAATGTTGTTATTTGTTTCACGACAAACGGGAGAGTTGTCGTTATCTCCGCCACAATCCACTGACCAAATGGCCAACGTGAGCTTCGCAAATATATGTATATAGTGATGACATAATTCAAAGATTCAAAATGTTCTTGTTGTTGGAAAAGGAAAATTAATATCAAATATCTTTTGGATTGGATTGGATTGGATTGGTTCAAATTACAATTTTCGCTTTTCATATTCTCATATTTTATTCTGCTTCCACACAAGTTAACTCATTACAAAAGGGTTAAATGCCCTTAGTCGGGAAGTATTTCTTCAAATTGATATGAAAATTTGAGAAATGTTAAGATCCTTGAACTTCATTTGACTACCATATATATTCAAAAGTGTATTGCTTTGTACAAAATACAATTTAAAAGTATTTTGTTTTTATTGAAGCCGGGTGCCTTTTTCCCTAACTGTTTACAATTTGAAATTCTGAATATTTATTAGTTTTACGTGTTCTTGATAGAAAGATAAAAGGATAAGCAAATATTAGTACACGTTCGACACGGCTTTTCCAGGAGTCAAATTATGATCAGATGAACACAGTAAATAGCATCAATACATCATCTGCCCGCCCTAACGTGCTGCAAGAGACTCCTCTAAATAGAGGTGACGGAAAGACAGAGGATGAAGCAACTTGAAATGAACCGATCCTGTCCTTTAACAACCTCATAAATTTCGTATTAAAAAATTATGCGCAACTTTGGTAGCTTCTGAATAAAATTCATTACATATTTGACCTTGACTCATATAAAATGGTAAATGGTAACTACCGCGGATGATTCAGCAGCAGGCTTTTCAAAAAGTATTGTCAAAATCCTCATGTACCACGTTTTGACTGAGGCAATGAATGTGGGTCAAAAGTTAGATACCATAAGACATGAATAAGTTAGTAGACCGAAGAAGCGCATTGAATATGGTCTGACCTACATTTGATATATCAGCCCAAACTTGGTACAAGGTGATTTTGACAACACTTGTTAAAGATTCTGGTGCTCGGTTACCCGTGGGAGAGGATCTTTGGACAGAAACAAGTTACTTTACATCATAAATTAGATTTCATTGAAATGTTCTAAGTTCATGTTCTCAAAACAATGTACATGTACATGCATAAGCAGTGATCGTATTCATCTGGCACGTATAGACCCACCTTGAATACTTGGTGTCCCCTTGAGATATGTATCAGCAAGCGTGACCAGCTCAGCGTCAATGAGAGCTTGTTTCAGTTTGAGATGCTGGTCGCAAGGCACCACAGTCTGTCTCCAGTCAAACAGCATGTCACGTGTTCCCTTACAAGTCACCCGTCCTTCTATCCTATTGGTTTCTGTGTATCTATTGATGTCTGCGACCCTGAATCCGAGTGTTCGTCCTAAGGCCTCCATCTGCTCACCTGTCTCGATGTCTTCAGCCAGCTTGGAGAGAAGATCATCGGCAATACCTTTATGAGCCGCCATATCTTTGGGGAAAATAAACAAAAGTAAAGATTTTGAAGCCTAAAATGAACATAGCTTCTTTATAGTGGAACAGTAAATCAATGTTGCATACCAGCAGGTCTGCAGTCATCATGGTATTGTGGCAATTTTCTTTCTCAGTGTGTGTGCGGGGGGTAAGGCTTCAAAATGTTAAGAGTTTCTTTTTTGTGCTTTATGCTATGGTCACATTACCCAAAAGTAGCCTGCTCGGCGGCCGAGCGGCGAGTTTTTAACCAATTCTGCCCGGCGGCCGCCCAGGCACCGCTCGTTTTTAGGGCATCGCTCGGTCGCCGCTGAAGTTTTTGCGCGGCGTTAAAATTTGGGCGGCGCCTGCCCACTTTTCACACTATATTTTTTCTCTGCATTCCTTTAAGAATTAAAGAAAATGAAAACTGTTCAATGAGATGCCCGAATATACTACAGTTAATAATAAGGATAGTTATCTAATAATAATAATAATAATAATAATAATAATAATAATAATAATAATGACATTTTTACCAAAGAAAGTCTAATGAGTATACCTATCATATTTTCTTTTTGATTTTCATTTTTAAATTGTATATTACTTGTATTTTTATTTTTTTGTGTGTTGGTAATTTGTTTAAACAATTATTTGTAACTAGTATCAATAATATTCTCTGTTATGTTGTCTTCGTTTGCACACGTACATGCTGAAGGCAGGTTTCTTATCATCGTTCCGAAATCATTTTGAATTGATATGTGAATGTCAAATTGGCGAATTCGTTATTCGAAATGGACATTAAAATTATAATTAATATTCCTTTCTCTTCGAAAAAACGTAGGAACTATGCTAAAGGTATCTTCTAGTTGTCATGTTTTTCTATAAGCCCCCTTCCACTTCAACGGAAAAGAATCACTGTTGTAATGCAATCATACCTGAGCTACTTTTCAATGGAGTTGCCTCTTCTTCATGTGGGTCCTGCTGCTTTTGGAGATATTCACCTACAGGAAATGTATACATAGTAATTTCTGTTGTTATTTATGCATCCATGGAGCGAGAGGATAGAAAATCTACATAATCTACATAATATGATTTTTTCAATTTTTTGAAAAATTAAGAACTAGTATAATGCCACAGTAATGAGGAGATACACTATCGATATAAAGTGAACAGAGAAAACCGTTCTCGACTAGGACTTGTGCTAACTTTTGGTTTTCATTTAGCAACAACTTAACATTTTGTAGAAATATGTTTTATGTAAGCATTAATTAAGCTTTTGCAGTTATTCATTGTTGTGTACATTATGTACAGTTTGTATTAGATTGTTTTACTCTGCATACTTTGTTTAATGATGTACATACATTCTGTTATTTAAACATATTTGTGGCTTACACCCAGTAAATAAGATCGATTGATCGAAATGTATTGGAAAACAAGTCAGAACAAATCTTGGAACCTGACTTGTGACTTGTTTTTCAAATACAGATCGATCAATCGATCTTATTCAATGGGTGTATAAAGCCACAAATATTTTTAAATAATTGAAATTTCTCCAAGGAAGCAGTACATTAATAAAATACATTTTGTTGTTGTTAATAAACTTCAAACTTAAAATAAAACAAAAATTCTGATTTTTTTCCCCAATTTTGTACTTGTTTGTTTATTGTAAGAATGCCTTGAAAAATCTATATAATGATATAAATTAATGGCGTCAAGGGGGGTAAATATCCATAACTTGATGAAATATAATCGGACTTGGTAACGATTGAACGGAACAGAACAATGCCAACAGGATGACCCTTTGTTTTGTGAGAAACTAATTACAAATATTGTATTTCTAAGTGAGACACGTTTATCGTACAGTAAATACATCTCATATTATATAAAAAGGATATAAATTATTCAATCTGTCGGTCAAACGAACCTAGCAGAATGTATGGAGGATTAGGAGTCCTTGTTAATGGGGCTTTCACATATACACAATCCGGGGCCCGTACGGCGAAAAAAAAAGTTCCTACGGGCGCCGGGACAGTTTTTAAGCCGTACGAGCGCCGTGGTGCTGAGTTGGCTGCTCCCAATTCTCCCGGCCTTTTTATCTGACCGTTGGGCCGTAGAAAGCCTGTAAAGGGCCCGTAGGGCACCTTACGGATCCCAAGCGGGCTCCGGACGGTGCCCGGACGGGCCCCTCACGATTTTGGGGGTCAATTGTCATGAAAAATCTCTACGGGCGCCTTGTGGTGCTCAAGGGTTCCGTACGTGTACCCTACCTCAAGAGCCCCGGGTGATATGCACAACAACAGGCGTCTGCCGTCCGGGGGCCATTTAAAATGAATATTGCCCGTGCGGGCCCCTCACGGCGGCATCTCTAAATATACAACTCAGTTTTAAATACAGGAGGTGCGGATACCAGAGGACACATACAGAGTAAGTCAGAAAAAATGTCCCACTCTTTAAAAGCTCCCGGAAGGTACCCTGCCGTGGCCCGGCCGGGGTCCTCAAGGCGCCCGGCCAGCCGGGTGTCGTGCGGTGCACTGAACTACAGAGTGCGTCAGAAAAAAATGTCCCTTTTTTAAAAGTTGTATTGTTTGAAGTATGATTATTTGATCATGGGTTTCAAGATATATCTTGAAAGAGTTATCCTCCCAGTACATTTAGGTACCATTTTCCTTTGAATCTCTGCATGCATGAATGAACATAAGACAATCTGTATAAGACTGCCAGATCTCACTTGCGCCAAGTTGCTAGGTGAGGAATAAAATAATGTTTTGAACAAAGATAGCCAGTTTTTTTCAATTATCAAATTAGCCAGACAGACATGCAGACAACTCCAATTCCATTCCCTACAAAGCCCACCCAAACTGTTACTTTTTGTCGGGGATTCTTCTTATCGTACGTAAAGTTGAGTGGCCGCTGTCCTCTTGGTGCGTATTGGCGGATGTTGTGCTTCATAATGATGATGGTGATGATAATGATGATGATGATGATGAAGATTAAGATGATGACAATGATGATGATGATGACATGATTTTTGTAGTGAATGTGTACAAAAGGGATTTCTTTTTTTAGGGTTATGCCACTTAAACATTCAGCGATCGTGATAAAAATCAATGCTCAATCAGAAAAGGGGTAATTATACAAAAATAGTCACCGTGTGTGTTGTTTGTGCGTGTGTGTGTATGTGTGTGTGTGTGGGGGTGTGCGTGCGCGTGCGCGTGTGTGACTGTCTTTGTGCAATGCACTGTTTTATTTCTCACCCAGTAACTTGGCGCAAGTTGTAAATATTGTCTGATATTCAGTGATGCATGCAGAGATTGAAATGAAAATGGTACCTAAATGTACTGGGAGGATAACTCTATTAAGATATATTATGAAACCCATGATTAAATAATCATACTTCAAACAATACAACTTTTAAAAAATGAGACATTTTTTCTGACTCACTCTGTAGTTCAGTGCACTGCACGACACCCGGCTGGGCCACGACAGGGCACCTTCCGGGAGCCATCGTTACACCTGCTCATCGGACGGAGCCCGTAAGGTTACCGGTCGGCACTCGGACGGCACCCTTACGGGCGCCTTGCATTTCACTTGACCAATTTTTTTAAATTGATATGAAGATCCAAACTACGACTGATAAGGAAACTATGTAAATATCTGAGAAAAAAACACCGTCGAATACAATATTACGGCTAAAAGTTACATGTGAACAAAAACTCCTTCGGAGAATAACACGTACATACAGTCACAGAGTTTAAAAAATATATGTTTGTAAATTAATCTTCCTAAATAACAGAGACTCTTCATCTTTTTTTAGACTTATGGACAGAATGAAAGAAAAAGACAAAGATAATGCGTCCATAAATATACTAGTATATACTATTATAATCGCTTCAAAAAGATGATGAACAAAGGTTACAAACTTAACTTTGAGACTAAAAAGACCCAAAACACACAACCGTTGAAACACAAACACCTAATTCCACTATCGCAGTCAAAGAAGTCTTATATGCGATTAAACTCTCAAAATAAGGAAATCGGGCGGTATTGATAATTTCTTAAATGATATGATTATATCCTCAGGGAATGTCATCGTTAAAACATATGTCGATATATCTAAAGCTATGTGAAAAACGGGAATATACCCAGATATTTAAAATTTAAAATTTCATGAAACCAATATTCAAAGAAAGAGACAGTAAGGACCCCTAAAATTATAAAGGGATAGTCTTGGCAAGCTCCCGTGCAAAACTTTTTTCTAGAATACTCTACAATACACCTAAACATACATTGAAGAAAAGAACAGAATAACCGCTAATCAGATAGGCTTTAGAAAAAGTTGCAGGACTACTGATCATATATTCACTCTGAGAACACTGGTAGAATCTATAGAAATAATAAATATGTATACGTGTGCTTTGGATCTCAGCAAAGCGTTTGATTATGTGAACAAAAACGCTCTTCTCTTAAAAAAACAAACAAACAATATAACCGATCCATTCCATTATCATCGAAAATATTTATGAAGATGTACGATTTGCTGTTAAACTGCAAAACAAAATAATTCAATATTTCCCCACTTCGATAGGCGTAAACAAATGTTGTGTATTATTAAAAAGCAATCACTTTTTTTCTATCTAAATGATATTAGTTTCATTTGGAAATAATTTTCCCCCAGTAACAGTACGTTTAGGAGAAGAACATAAATTATGTTATATTCATATCACCTGTAGATAGTATCCTAAAAGGAGTGTGTACTTCAAACAGCATTAAACAACTTAAATGAATATTCTGTGAAGTGGAATTTATAAATTACTACGAGAAAGACTAAGACAAAGATTTTTAGTAAGGCAGGAAGAATGTTTAATAGAAAATAATTTACATTTGATAACACCCGAAAAGAAACAACGAACTAATACAAATATTTAGGAATTATCATCAAACCATTAAGCACGTTTACACGCGCAATAAAAACCTTAGCAACAAAGCCTTAAAGGTACTATGTCCCATTTGTAGGCCAAACAAATGAAAAGGTGAAATTCTAACGGCATTTGAAAGATAATACTAATTTAGAAATTACCTAAAAAAAAGGGGGGGGGGCTTGAACATGTCTTTAAGTGGGAAAATAACGACAACTGTTGTCGAATGGACTTAAGAGCTATAGACCCAGTAAGTAATAGTCTGATTTTCAGAACATTGTACCGAATGGTCGTACATTTTATGCTGCGCAAAGATTCAATCAGTTTAATTTTGGCCATTACAAGAAGTGGGATATTGATGTAGACAAATGCTCATGTACCCTTTAGAGCTCATGTTTATGTATGTTATTACCAAAGAAGAAAAAAGCCAGTCAGTCACTCAATATACAGCCTTTTCACACACAGCTAAAATTCATCGTATCTAGAGATAATTGGTATAAACGTGTTTAACTCAACAGTTTTAAACATGTTTATAGAAAATATTCCTAGTGTGAACGTCGTTTATACGATGTACGGATAGATAGGAAGTCGCGATTCATACGCCCCTAAAAGCAGGCTGCATATACGAAGTTCGTATCTAGAGAGCTTGACATCTTGTGTGTGAAAGGCTATTCGTGTTTAAACGTGTTTAAACTGGATGGAGCGTGAGCTTTGTTTGATATGAAATGACCTTCAATGCGCAATGAGACTACTGCGCATTTTAAGAGCAGTAGTTAATCACGAAACGATTAACGATCGCACCGAAATGTCTGTGTGTGAATGATGTCATATGTACAGATGATTAGTTTTAAGCCCTTTAAAATAATCATGTTTATAGAATTTTAGCTGTGTGTGAAAAGGCTGAGTGTCCAGTGGCGGATACAGGGGGGCGGGGCCGGGGGAAAAAATGTGTATTTTTACATTTGTTAACGTTAATTTTACCTCTTTTTTTGGAGATGCCCCCACCCCCCCCTGGTGCTCAAGGGGGGGGGGTGCAAATTCTTAAATTGCCTAAAGACTAGATATCCATAACACCATATAAAACCAATCCTACTTTATAATTTTGAAAATGGGGGCTTGAATGCTTGATCAAAAATACGAAAAAAGAGAAAAATGCTACAAAACATTCCTACGCCTATCCCTGCAATTGATTGTTATAAAGCTCTCATTGTACCAACAGACCAGCAATGAATAGCGCCATCCTAGCGGAAACCGAACGATTCTCCCTCGCACTAACAGCATGAATCAATATTGTTTGCTGCTGGCATCAGATGATTAAATCCTCCAAACAAAATTAGTAAAACAATCTTACGTTGAGGGCAAATCCATTAACATCAAATATTGCATACACATGAAATCCTTGTTATTACTCATTTGTTGGCAAAATCATAATACACGATATGTTAGTAGATTAAAGATAGCTATTTTAAAGCCTGTAAAGACAGTCCATCCAAATGAAATAATATTGAATACTCTACCAAATTTGAAACATAAAATCCTAAAAAGAAATTACAAATTGGAAAACTATGTAGTACTCGATATTGACGAAGAAAGTCAGAATAAGCAATAGTAACCGCATGATCGAGGGAGGTTGGTACTAACAAATTACACTAATATATAAGATATGCCCCCTTTTAAAACTGATATAGATAATGAAATACACTTCCTAACAAAATGTGGAAACTTAAAAGATCCGAGATTAAAAAAATACTCTAAACTTTACAATATACTATAGGACTTTCAAAACCTAAACGACGATTAGAAATTTAAACTAATGATGTCCAATAGCGGAACCGACATACACGCAATAATATAAGCGAAATGTACGACAAACTAATAGACCTAATGAAAAACAATAAATTTACATACAAATACACATAACACCCCCCCCCCCGTAATAAAGAAATATATATATATATATATATAAAGTTCACGTCTTGTGTGCCTAACCTCGTATTTTCTTACCTTTGCTCATTTACAACCCTGTTTATCTTTATACTATTTGGACTTTGCGATGTCAGGTCTATTATAAGATAGAGATTAGACCATAAATGAGATAAGTAAATCACTGAATGCTTTATCGTTGCTGTTAGTTTTTCCCCTGTGTATTCATATGGAATATTAATTGTTACCATATTGATAATCTCGTCGACATTTAGAATTGTAAAAGGCATTATTTAGTGTCACCCCCATGCCCACTGTCTCCCACGTGGTTGGATTTGAGAAAAGGGTAATATCGTTGGGAGGGGTTAGTTCACATGAATACAATATAAATTGTTTTACTAACATGTTTTTATTTTGTTTTAATTGCTTGGATACGATATGAAACAAAAATACACTCATTTGACCGAGTCGTCAATATCACATCGAAAAATACCGGGAGTTACATTAAGATCCTCTTAATCGATTTTACGTGACGCGCTTCGGACCAATCACAACTTGTATCTATAAGAGCTATCTAATATACTCTACTGTGCTGTGATGAAAAATCGCAACAGCGCTACTTTACGGATACAACATAATAAACTACTGAAAATGTTCTTTAAAAACAAATCGGTCTTCGACAAAGCTTTGAAGACGGCAACAGATGAGGATTTACTTTGATTGATAAAGTATATCCTTTGGCAAGATATTAACCTGCATTTGCTACTCTCCACCCAGGTGATAGGTACCCGGTAGGATGCGACCGTCATTGTTGGTCAAACAGTTTTTGAGCGTCATGTAACGCCTGGCTCCCCGGGGAGTGGAGATTGTGCACACATTGTGTGCGGGCAAGCACTGAATTCAATGACCGGGGTAATAGTATATTTGTAAAGCGCTTAGAGAGACATTTGTATTAAGCGTTACATACAAATTAAATATTATTATTATTATTATTTATGAGTATTGATGTGATCAAAATATAATAATTCACACAAATTGAGTTGAGGGGTGATGTACTTTTATCTATATGATTATGTATTTCCAACTGTCGTTTACATGGTGTCTGCTTTTGCGGTCATATACAAAAAAGCCTTATCTAGATTCAAAGAATTGTAGTCGTTTGTGTAGTATAAAAGTACCCTATTTCTACCACCAAGACGATAGAAGCCAAGCAAGCATAATGCCATTAATTTCAAAAGTACAAACTGTGCCCCTTTTAGAATATAATAGTCTTTGTTTGCAACGCTATCAAATATTCTTTCTATACATCAGTAACTTTAATATAAGAATTATATTTTTTTCAAACTCGAGGCATCTGCATTTACATTACCAAGAGGCATAACTATTATACTTGCTATTATAACGTGTTTTCATCACCCCTCAACTCCCCTGAAACAGGTCAAGTTTTTGTTTCGAATTTCCCCAAATATTGCTAGCTACGCACACTTGCATTTAAGATAGTCATATCTCATTAAGTATTGATTTTTTTTAAAGGTAAATTAAAAAGAAAAAAGTTTTAAAGCCCAAGTCCAATCCAAAAATAATTTACTTTCAAAAGAACCAGAAAAATCAGACAAACCAATCAAAACAAGTTTGAGCAAAATCGGATAACTAATAAGAAAGATAT